TTGTGCTTGTTAAAAAGTCCAAGCTGGAAAAAATCTGCTGAATGTGTTTGTTTTATTTGACACTACGCTATAGCAGCTCTAATTATTTAGCCGATTGTAACTCACTTCATCTTGGACAATCTTTTTTTGATTGAAGACATTTTTATATATGTGTGTTTCAGTGATTTTAATCTGATTGAGATTGTGAAACAGTAAACAGTCTGTAGCCTGTTGACATTTTTTTTGCACTGTATGGAATAAAATCTAAGTATTTGACACCAAAAACTGTCTCGATAATCATGAAAAATGTGTTGTGGATTTCCCAAAAGATGGCAGCAAAGTCATAACGTAGGTGCTTCAGAGAGCATTACTTGAGACATGATACAGTTATAAAACGATTTCAGTTCCTCCGCGCAGAAACAAAAACACATCACAGATCTCCATTTGCAATAATATATCTATACTGTTTAATATTGAAATGATTTCATTACGCTCTGCTGTGTTACAGACAGTAAACACTAGTCAATAATACAATAAAAGACAGAAAATACAGTCTAATGTTATTAGCACCTCTAGACACTATTGGCCTTGTACGGTTTTTAGTATTTTAATATAGCTGAACTTGACAACTACTGCCTACACATGGTCTTTGTACACCAGAGTTAACTAAGACATAGTGTTTACATTACAAGGTAGAGAATCAGCAAAGAACAGTACACATTATGATTTCTTTAACACAACTGCAGTATGAGTGAGTATGGGAAATGCAGAGGGTATGTGAATAATACTTCTTTGAATTGACTATGGCATTGGTGCCTCTCTTTATTATCACATTTATTTTTGCCCAAAAAAGGGGAGAAGTCACCATCGAACAAATGTAATATAACAGCGAACCAAACTTTCACATACAAAATAACCACCAACACTTGTTTTCCAATTTTATAATCTACTTTTTATGGAGCCCAGAAACTGACAAAATGAAGATTAGTGTCAAAACACACACTAAATAATACAGTAACTTATATAGAGTTGAAAATTGAGTTTTCTATTTTTAGATGTATTGTCTTTTTTTCCAAACAAACTAAACTAAAATACTACAAGTAGCTTTTTTTTTTCACCAGCTGGTTGCATCATTTGTCTATAAAATGTAAGAAAACTATCAAAAATGTATTTTGTCCGACCAACGGTCTAACAAAGATATCCAGTTTACTTTAACAGGATCTCAAATCTTTGAATCAATCTTTGAGTCAATCAATGATCAGACTAGGATCAATATAAATCACAATCAATCAAAACAGACACATTGTTTTCCAAAGAATGTGATAAAAGTTAAAATAGTCTATTTCTTTTGCACTGTACTAGAAGGAAACCAGAAATAATTCTAATTTGAGAAGCTGAAACCTACATTCCTTGTTTGTTTTTTTTAAAGATTAATTGATCAAAGTAGTTATATTAATTTTCTAACTAACTGACTAATTGTTGTACCTCTACTATTTACTCTCCATTTTAATAACTTAACTAACAAATTTATTAACTGAGCTTTTGTCAGTTTTGGGGGTCCATAAGTTTTCACCCACAATATGGGTAGATAAAACAAATAAATGAACATTATTTTAAAAAAAAGAGAGAGAGACTTTTTTCTTTTTCAAAAGAGTAACACATTTCTTTAAATTCTTACAAACATACAGTTCTTTCTCTCCAATATCGCCAATAAAATTCCCAACACTTTCCTTGAAGCTGAAGGCCACACAATCCAATCCTTTTGGATACATACTTTGCCTCAAGCAGCTAAACCCGAAACTAGAAGTCCCAGTAGAGACCCAACTTGGCAATCCCATGAGCACTTTCTGCTTTGTACCAACTGCCACGCTCAATGTTTCATTATGTGACAAACATTTTACTCGGGTGCAATGCAGAATGCACAGTCACTGTGGTGTCTAGGCACACACTCAGTCACTGACAAACCCTCATTTAAGGACAAGGGCAGGTCCTGCTTTGCCTAATCTAATACAAGCCTTTGGCTGCTAGCCTTAGTAAAAGGAGAATTTGGCTAATTAAAAGACATAAAGCCTTGCCTATAATATAGGACTCCTAAACATTGTGCAAAGTTTCTCTTCTCCGTTTCTAGAATCTCAGTTTTACTGCCATTTAACTTAACATGAAGTTCCTCCCATTAGATTAAAAAAGATTACTTTTTAAAAAATGACTTGTTAATATTCTTTTTTTAAGATTTTGGGGCTCATAAATGTCTGTCTTTCATTGCGTACATTTTCTATGTACAGCTTGATTAAGTGTTGCTTTGTCACAGACGTGGGTTTTATCTTGTTTGCAGCTTGTTTCAGGTAAGATTTGTTCACTAAATAATCCAAGACAAAATAATTAACATTTAAATTCTACTTTGTAGGTCGGATTTAGACTTTCGTAGCCAAATCGCTCTCTATACTTTCTCCAAATGCTGTGTCATGAATTATATACAGTATATTATATAGTGATATAAGAGGGGTAAAACAGATATATTTTATATAGTTTTTTACAATTCACCAAGTAATTTGATACATTTTTGGCATCAGATCATCTGCTCTGTGTCCTTCCCCTCCAAAATGATGAATATGATGCAGTTTGATTTATCATAACAGCAATTAATTACTACTGAACTGGTTAGGAAGCCTGTAATTTAAGTAGATCCCAGTATAATATTTCCAAGCAGGTACATACAGAAGGACTTATTTCTGCAGGGTCTGAACAAACCTTTGGTCTAAACAAAATGTTGTTTCAGAGGACTGAACACCTGCCAAGGACACATTTCTGGCAGAGACTGCATTTTTGTAATTTCCTATAATTTTATGCCATGGAAGAAAAAAAAAAAACACCTACCGTCAGCAAATAACTGCAACTGTATCAGCCTTCAAACCCTGCAGCTGAACTGGAGTATAAAGTGCTCACAATAATTAATATCTTTCTCATTACTTAATTTGGCAACTGACACCTTCCTTTACATTTTCTCA